CTCTGCTGGGCATGCTGCTTCCTTGTAGTTAAATGTGGCTGGAGAAAACACACACGTGGCGACTAATCTTCCTTTCCGACCCTTCACGACCCCGGATTTCCAATGGGCACAGCTCTCATATTGTACTTACATTTGTTGTTCTCCTCCTTACCTCAATGGCTGTTTTATAGATTTTCCTCTGTTCTCAACCCCCAACACTCCCTCCCTGTCCTCACTCTCTGCCGATGACTCTTTGTCCCAATTCACCGAGAAAATGGAAGCAACAGATGAGAACATACACCACCACAGATCCTACCACCCAGACACCGCATCTACCCTGACCTTCAGCCTTCCTTCCATGACAGTGGATGACCCAGCCACCAGCCCACTTGTGCATGAAGTCCCATCTCCTCCTCACTTGCCTATTCAAGAACGTCACTCTGGCAATGGTCCTTTCTCCCTCAGTGTCTCCCTCAGCATACAGACATGCTGTTATCTCCCCCCACCTTCTATTACCTATTATCACTCTCTTTCTCCCTTTTGGAGCAGTATTTGGCAAAATATTGCCTGCACTAACCTTTTATAAATTCTTTCCTCCCACTTTCTCCTCAACCCATTTTGGGCAGGCTTCTGTCTCCATCACTCCTTGAAAATGCTCTTGTCAGAGTCACCCAGCACCCCCATGTTACTAAGCCCACTTCAGGACCCAATCCGTGTCCTCTTCGACCTGTCAGCACCTTTGATGTGATCATTTCTTTTCCTGGATATAATTTTCATTGATTTCTAGAACATCACACTCTTCACTTCCCACCTTTTTGCTGGTCTTTCCTTTGAGTTTTTCTTTGCTGGGCCTTTTTTTTTTTTTTTTTTAAGATTTTAGTTTTTTATTTGACAGACAGAAATCACAAGTAGGCAGAGAGGCAGGCGAGAGAGAGGAGGAAGCAGGTTCCCTGCTGAGCAGAGAGCCCGATGTGGGGCTTGATCCCAGGACCCTGGGATCATGACCTGAGCCGAAGGCAGAGGCTTAACCCACTGAGCCACCCAGTGGGTTGGTCCTTTTTTGTGTTTCTGACTAGTTCGTATTGAAATACCTGGGCTCAGGTTTGGTCCTTTTCTCTACCTTTTCCTTGGTGATCTCGACCTTTGTCAGGAATCCCATGTGGATTTCAGGCTCAAACCACTTTCCTGAACTCAAGATTCTTACATCTCACTGCCTCTTTGACATTTCCATGTGGATATGTACCAGATGTCTCAAACTGCACACGTCCAAAATAAAACCTCCTGATCTGCCCCCTCCCTTCAAAGTCTCTGCTCTGCCCATAGCCCATAGCCTGTCTTGTTGCCACGTGTCTCCTGCTCTGCTGTCATCACGGGACCGCTGCTTCCAGCCTTGCTCTGCCCAGCCCAGCCTGTCCTTAACGCGGGAGCCAAGACAGATTCTTAACAAGCTCGTTCAGATGGTACCAGCTATCTGCTTATCAGCTACCTGCTTTGACAAAGTGCTACAGTGATTTCCCGCCTTAGATGTTTACAGTGATGGAAAGGTCCCAGTCTGACCCACGCCTCCCTCTCTATGTTTCTGATCTCCTCTCCGACTGCTTTCTCTTGCTTGCGCCTTCGGCCTCCTTTCCAAGCCTCAAACTCAGAGGCTGCCGCTGCGTCTGTGCCTTTGCTCTGGCTCTTCCCTCTGCTTCAGATGCTCTTTACTACGGTATCCTTGGGGCGCATTCCCTTGCTGCCTGTATGTCTTTGATCTCATTTTGTTCTCACTGAACTTGACCCTGACAGCCTACTCCAAATCAGAGTCATATTGTTCACGATTATTCTGTGTTTCCTTTTACTAAATCACTTATCTCTCTCTAATAAAACATATAATTAGCTAGTTTATGTATACTGGACGTGGTCTGTCTTTCTCACTAAAGTCAAGGTGGTTTGTCCTCTGCATTCACTGATGTATCCCCAGGTCAGGGAGAAATACCTAGCACGCAGTAAGTACTCAGTAAATATTTGCTAAATGAGTAAAGGGCAGCAAAGCTGTCTTCCATTCCATTATTTTTTTTTTTTTTAAGATTTCTTTTTATTGGAGGGAGAGAGAGAAAGAGAGAAACATCACAAGTAGGTGGAGGGAGAAGCAGACTCCCGGCTGAGCAGGGAGCCCATGGGGCTCCATCCTAGGACCCTGGGATCATGACCTGAGCTGAAGGCAGACGCTTAATTGACTGAGCCACCCAGGCAACCTTCTGTCTTTCATTCTTTATAGTCACATAAGCTTGCGACATTGGTTTGCCCTCACTTTTCGTGTGTGTGTGTGTGTGTGTGTGTGTGGTGCTTGAATAGATGAATGTGTTTACCAAATTAACCAATACTTAAAACTCTTCTTCTCTGCTAAACCTTTTAAAATTTACTTTGAGCATGTGACTAGGCAAGTAAATAATCAAGCAGAATAAAACAAGATAAAACAGCGGTGTGTTAGATTATATTTCCTCACCAGGAAGGACTACAATGTTGATATGGAACGCAAGATGTGTACAATTATTTTCACAAGTCGCTCCAGAATTAAAGCTCTTAGAACTGCCCAGCTGTGTTGATTAGTCAGCTCTTCCCGACATCTTACCCCTGGGTATCGATGTCCTGCTAGCATAGCAGTGTTGCCATAAGGTCAACAGCCATCCTGCAGTGTCACCCCATCACAAACACACACACAAAAATCTTGCTTCAGATTTGTGAGCCACTTGCGTGGGGATTCAGTCTTTTTGTTGTTGTTGTTCCTGGATCCAGGCCCCCAGATGAACGAGGGACAAACCAAAGGTGCCTGATGGCGAGTGCGTGTCATGATCATGTGCAATTAGTATGTCAGGATTAAACACTGCTCTCCTGGTTCTCCAAAAATATGACGTGGAAGGAAGTGGGTAATTTACTTCATCCCTACATTTGCCTTCTCAGAAAGTAATCAACCTGGTTTCAGCCACTTCTCTCTAACAGGTATTTTGTGAAAAGTCAAATGAGATCACGGTTGCGAGAGAGCTGAAGTTCTGTTTCACACAAGGAATCAGAAAGACCGGTTTTTAAAGTGTCTGTGGAGCAGTGGCTTTTTCTTACTCCTGAGGGGTGGGTTGGCTGCTTCCTAGAGGAAGGGGCCACGCATCTCTGTTTCTAGCATCCCTCCTCCCTCCGCCCGCCTTGGGCTGTGAGGTCAGTTTTCATGGCGAGCGTATGACATTCACCGGAAGCAGGTCGCTTGACCTCTCAGAGCCTCAGTTTCTTCGCGGTAAAATAAGAGTAGTATCTTTCACAGGAACAGATTGCCGGGATTGGATGGGGTGATGCATAGGAAGTACTTTGGTAAACCTGAAAGCATCAGATACAAACACTTATAATGTTACCGTCACTAATATTAATTAGTTATATTAATTGTTCACCTTGAGTCCTGGCTATAGAGAAAGGATTATTTTACCTTCTCAGGTTTCTTTAACCCATGCTGCATTTTGACCCACACACGTGCACGCGTGCGCATACACCCATATTTCTGGTAAAATTACTGGTCCGCAGAACTAGCAAGGGCCAGGTTGAATGCTTCCGAAGCTGCGGTAAAAATCGGATTCTTCGCTATTCGCCCAGGGCACAGTGTCAGTCCTTTCGTCAGTGGCAAAGCTGTGAATTTCCCTTTTCGGCGACACTGGCCTCCACGGTCATTATTTTGCTTGCTGCTTTGGAGGCGGGTTCCTGCTGCGTTCCACCATGCTTGGCAGGAAGGTTCTGGGTACAGGCTTAGTCTTGCTTCACGGGAGCCCGCCGGGGGTGATTGGGCATGGCGGTGGATGTCCATTGCGTCCCCGGTGAGACTCGAACCCCTTGCACGCATGGAGACGCGCTGTGAAAACTTCACCGCTCGCTCAAGTAGCTTCAGAAAGGCCTTATTATCACCTTAGCACACTTAGTTTTGCTCAGGCTCCAGTCAATAAGTACTTTTATTGGAAAAATGTGGAGTTTGGGATACAACTCAAAAGGATGCAGGGAATTGAAGAGACTTTGGATAATTAGGATAAGAAAATTACGAAGTTTTGTGAAAATCTGAAGCTCTGAGATAATATAGACAAAGAAGATGATTCTAAGATAGGAGTAATAAGGAGGGTTTGCTGTAATTAAACTCGTGCATAAGAGTCAGATCATATGTAATAGGAGGATTCAATTTCCTATGTTATTGTTGAAAAACAAAGGCATTCCTGCTGAATGTACTCTCATAGTATCTCGTTTAACACCTAGATAGATGCTAGTTTTTTTCTTTTAAAGATTTACACATCATATATCAAAAATAAATAAAGTAGTTTAAATAATTGAATTTATAGATCTTAATTGCAATGAATATTTATGTCAAGGCCATGGCAGATCTTTGTGGGGAGGTCAGTAAATACATACTATTTTAAAGGAATGGCACAAATAGCTTTACATTGTATGTATCTCGCTTTTAATTTTTGCTTTAATAAAATGGAATTGAAATTGGGAGTGTGTAATCTTCACATACTTCCTTGCCTCGAATTAGAAAAAATAGAATTTGTTACTTCTGAGATTCTTAAATAATGTTTTAATTCATTTCAAAGACTGCAGACAGCTAGCTGTTCAGGGTCTGTAGAAGTAGCTATTTGTGTCGTAAATTAAGTGAACAGTCAGTAGTTTATATGATGGCAGGTGTCTGGTCGCTTCTGCTGTTGACTGATACGGAATTTTGGAATTTGCCAATTCAGGGACATACTCTAGTGGAAAGTGTTTGACTTGTTCATCAGACAGACCTGGTCTCAAAGGCTTGCTGTTTCGTCCTTGCTGTGGGCCTGGGCAGCTTCCCCATGTGCTGCTAGCCCTACCCCATACGATTGTTGTGAGGATGTGATGAGATACATGTCTTAAGTAACTAATAACCCCTGAAAGAGTAAGTGCGTAATGACTGTTTTCTTCCTCCCTTTCTTCCCCCTGCTAGACCACTTGTGTTTTTAATGCCTCACTCCTTGCCCTGGGTTGTATTGTAGGAAGTCTTCTGGATGGATGGCTGCTGGAAACCCATTGCCGTAGCCAGCTCTTCTTCTGTACCCAAGGAGTTACCCTGGCATTGAGTAATGAGAATTTCGGTAAGAAAAATTAGAAAAAGAGAGTAGATGGACTTTTCATAAAAGATCACTTGTATCTCAGATCAGATCGTTCATAGTAAGTTATAGGACTCTTCTCCAAAGACCTTGAGATGTCCCAGATCTCTGGATTATTCTTATTTTGAAAAAAATGAAATAGGTCTTTTAACTCTAGTAACACCCTGATTAGCTCTTCATGTCATTGTAAATGTAGTAGTTCACTTATTTTACCTTATTTTGTGCTTTTAATTTCCATCTAATCAATGAATTGTCTAGTCTTTGATGACAGTGTCTGGATATTATTTGTCTCTTTGGTGTAGACTAAATGAGGCACAGATTCTTAGTGGTTAGGGTATTGTCTGAAACTGTAAAGGTTTTGACAGTGTGAGAGAGGCAGGCAAAAGTGTGAAAAGTAAGAAATTCTACAGTAAACATATTCCTAAATCACCAAGAAAAATTATTATATATCGCTTGTTAGAATGGCATAGAGTATCTTTACTCGGGTCTATTTTTATCCATTTTTTCCTCCAAATGATATCAATATATAATGAGTTTTCATATAGTTACATAAAGTTAATATGTATCTAGTACACCTATATTAGTAACTTATGTTATTAACCCGTGCTGTATAAAATATGTTGAACTACTGTCAACCACACCCAAATTTAAAAAAAAATGAATGTGCCATGGAGAATTAAGGGCAATCAAACAAATATGTGCTGAACTATTAAAAAGGGAAAAAAAGATGAGAGCGAAGATAAGGATAATAGAAACAAAGTAAGTGGTGATATTAGTATATATGTAAGTTAGTAAATATGTGAATTATCTTAAAATTATCGTCACTGAAATGTACCTGGAGAAATACATATTAAAGAATTTTGCACATAAGAGACAGAGCTGGAGGTGGGGAGAAAGCAAGAAGGATAAATTCTAGCCTCATTAATTCTAACAAAGAGCATTAATTCTGAAATTGTGATAAAATTACCTTTTGGCATCTAAAAATATGATAAAATATGATTTTAAGTATCATTTTTTAACTAAAAGAGTTTTAACCACTTTGCCTGTGATTATATTTTTCAGAAAACATATTTGAGAAGTACTTCCATCCAATGCTACTTGTGTTTACTTTTAAATTGTCATTTTCTAACCGAGGCTGGCATTCATGTCTTCATTTTGGGGTGAGTTTATTTTTCAGCATAAATGGCACCATGTTAATGGCCATGATCATTGTTCTTTAGTATCTTCTCTATTAAACTGGTTTGTGTTCAGTTTGCTTAAATCCTTAAGAACTAAGTATTCGGGTACAATAGAGGGCAGATTACGGAGATTCTGAGTAGGTGTGATAAATACCCAAATGGACATTTCTGCATTTGGTAATATTCCAAATGAGTGCTCTGTGCTTCCAAAAAACTAGACTTCTTGGTATTTAACTAAACTTGGAAGCCTATTCCTTATTAATAGCTTACATGATTTTCACAGCAGTAAAATACAGATATTTAGGGCTTGTCCATGTTACTTTTTTATCTATCTCTGACACAGACATCTCCCATCCTCTGAGCCCTATCTTACTTCAGTTTGAAATGTTTCTTTCTTTATTTAGGCCTTTGGTTTTTCTTCCTACTATACATTCATATACTTCCATGCTTATTAACTTTTTTCTTCTCTCTCAGATGTAGCTAATTCTCTGCACATAGTTGACCCAAAGCACCCAGCTTGTAGTTATGTAATATGACCCTCAGCTCAGTTTTCCTTACTAATGCCTTCTTGGTGCAGGGAAACATAGATGGTAAAGAATACTTACTATCAAAACCTGTATGTGAAAATGATTATTGCTTATTTTAAGAATTTTGCCTATTTATTGGACTTAAAAGTCCAATGGAACCTCTGCTAGAAAACTAGCAATTCATTCAAAAACAGTTATTGAGCACTATGGCACATCAGGTGCTATGTTTATTCCATTGTGATAAATTACATGAGGTTATTTATAAGTTATCTTTCCAAATTAGGTTTTTCCCTAATCCCGGTAGGTCAGTCCTTAAGTTAGCCTCAGATACCAAGAGTTATATATATATATATATTTGGTGTTTATATTCATCTACAAGTCTGTTGAATGCACAAAGGCAAGGATAACACTTATCTTTTCACTGATCAAAATAAAAAAAAATCTTGATTGCTCTTTTGCCTGTAATATTCATCAAGTATAATTCATCAAGTAATATTCATCAGTATTATTATATCCATTCAAAATGTTTTGCTCTTTGGTTTTGCTTTCAGCTCTGTCAGTGCAGGTCTTCCTAAAACAGAAGCAAACTGGGGGTTTGTAATAAAGGATTTGGAAAAAATTGACAATATTATTCAAGTGAGTACTCCTTTTTCCATAAACTCTCTGGTATGATTGCTATGGAGTATGCCTCTCCCTGTGTTCTGCTGTTGGTCTTCATGAAATCTCACTTGAAACAATATTTTTGTAGCAATTCATGAGCCTGGCAAATCCTTAAGTGAAATCTTTTACTTACACTTTTCAGATCCTAATTATCTTTAAAACTCAATTTGTAAGTGGCCTGGTATGAAAAGCTCTCTGTCACCACAGTCCAGGGACTCGAGTCTCCAGCAAAGAAACAGGGCAGCTTTGGCAGCTCTTGTAGGGAGCATGGCGTGACCCAGGGATGAGCTGTCTGTCCTGTGGCTAGGAAACCCCCCCTCACCTGGAGCCACCAGCTGGCCTGGCAGAACCTGCATGGTGAAAGAGAGCAGGAGCCCCATTGAGGACCACTACAGCCAGGGAATTGCTTTCCACCACCATGGGTGACACAGCAGGGACCAGTGGGCGTCCTGGGGGCACCAAGTGAACCAAGCATTTCAAATTAGCACCACAAAGATTCTGAAAGCTATACTGTCATTGGAACCACAGCTTATAAACAGAAGTCCAAACCTAAACCTAAACAGGGTGGCTGATATAGAAAATTTAAATGGAACCAGGGTCTCCTAACATAAAGTTCAATACCAGAATACAGCTGAAACTCACTCATTACACCAAGAAGCAAGAACATCCCAACTTGACTCAGAAATGACTGAAATAGACTTTGAAACTGAGATGGATTGGATGTTGGAATTGCTTGACAAGGATTTTAAAGCAGCCATCATAAAAATGTGCCAACAAGCAATTACAGATACCTTTGAAACAATTGGATAAAATAAAGTCTTAGCAAAGAAATGCAATATGTAAAAGGAACCAAGTGGAAATGACGGAACTGAAAAATACAACAACTGAAATATAAAACAAACTGGAGAGATTCACTAGCAGAAAGAATATGACAGAGGAAAAACAGTGAACTTGAAGATAGAATAATATAAAACACACTGAAAAAAAAAGCCTCAGGGATCTTTGGTATAATAAAATATCTAGCACTCTTAAATTTTTTTTTTAATTTATTTATTAGAGAGAGAGGGAGAGAGGGAGGGAGAGTTGGGGGAGGACCAGAGGTAGAGGGACAAGCAGACTCTGTGTTGAGCATGGAGCCCAATGCTGGGTTTGATTTCATGACCCTGAGATCATGATCTGAGCCAAAATCAAGTCTGAAGTCTAACTAACTGAGCCACCCAGGCACCCAAGATCCAGAATTCTTAGCATTAGCATCTCAGAAGGAGAGAGGAAGGAGAATACAAGTAAAAGACAGAGATTGGCCAAATTGGTAACAAAAATAAACCAATATTTTGCTGTCTACAAGGAATTCACTTTAAACACAATGATATAAGTGGGTAGAAATTTAAAGGAGAGAATATACCATATTGTAATGGGTTGTTGAGTATTGCCCACCATTCCTGCAAAAAAAAATTCATGTCTACTTGGAATCTCCAAATGTGACCTTCTTTGGAAATAGGGTCTTTGCAAATATAATTAGTTAAGGTGAGGTCCTACTGGAGTGGGTTGGACCCCAACTCCATGACTCACTGTCCTTCTAAGGAGAGGACAGACCACAGAGAGAGTGACAGGGAAGAAAGCCACCTGAACTTGGAGGCAGCTTCAAGGCAAAGGAAAATAGAATGATGAAGCTAGAAGCCACAGAAGGCCCAGGATTGCCTGAATCACTAGAGACTTGGGAAAGGTAAAGAAGGATTGTCCTAGAGCCTTCAGAGGGATCCTGGCCCTACTGACATCTTGATTTTGGACCTCCAACTTCCAGAGCTATAAGAGAATAAAATTGTTGTTGTTTTAAGGCCTCATTTTGATATTTTGTTACTGCAGCTCTAGGAAGCCAATACACATAATGCACAATAATTGTAAAAATCAGACGTAGCTCTCTTAATATCAGCAAGTAAAATCGCTAGACTTTATAGTAAGTAAAACTACTAGGATCAAGAGATACATTACAAAATGGTGAGAGATTAATCCACCAGGAAAATGTGATCTTAAATGTGTACACACCAAATAGCAAAGTCTCAAAATACAAGATGCTAAAACTAATCAAACTGAGAGGAGAAAGAGGCAATTTCACAATTATAGTTGAGGACTTCACCACCTCCTAAGGAACAAACTGAATGACAAGACAGAAAATCAGAAAGAATATAGAAGAACTGGACTACACAGTCAGCCAACAATATTTAATTTACATCGATAAAACACTTCACCCACCGATGAGGAATTGGTATTTTTTTCAGGCACTGTTCACCAAGACTAATGGTATCATGGGCCATAAAACACACTTTAACAAATTTATCAGAATTGAAATCATGCAGAGTGTGTTCTTTGACCACAGTGGAATCATGTAGAAGTCAATCACACAAATAGAGCAGGAAGATCTCCAAACACTTGGAAATTAAAAAATATATTTCTAAATATTCCGTGGGTCAAAGATTAAATCTCACAGGATATAAAACAGTACATAGACTTGAATGAAAATGAAAATACAACACATCAAGATCTGTGGGATTCAGAGAAAGCATTACAGAGAGGGAAATTTATAAAACTAAATAATTATATTAAGAAAGAGGAAAGATCTCAGATCAACAATTGAGGTTCCCACCTCAAAAAACTGGAAAGAGAAGAGCAAAATAAACTTAACACAAGCAGAAGGAAGGAAAAAAGTAAAGATAAGAGCAGAAATTAATGAAATTGAAATCCGAAAAATAATAGGGAAACTTAATGAAACATAACACTCATTATTTGGGGGAAAATCAATAAAATTGATAAACCTTTAGAAAAACTGACAAAGATTAAAAAAGAAATGACATAAACCATTAATATCAGAACTGAAATTAGAGGCTATCACTACAGAATCTGCAGATATTCAGAGGATAATAAAGAAAAGCTATAATCAACTTTATCCTCTAAATTTGACAACTTGAAGGAAATGGACCAATTTCTCAAAAACCACAAACTACCAAAATGTAATGAAGATGAAATAAACAATCACCAAACTACTATAACCATTAAAGGCACTGAATTCACCAGAAATAATCTCCCCAGAAAGAATCCCTAGGCCCACCTGGTTTCACTGGAGCATTCTACCAAACAAAGAAACATTAACACAGATTTTACAATCTCTTCCAAAATAGATCTATTACAATCTATTCCAAAAATAGAAGAAGAAAAACTTTCTAACTCCCTTAGGCAAGTGTTACCCTGATGCTAAAACCAGGCAAAGATGATTCCAAAAGAGAAAGCGACAGACACCTCTAATAAACTTGGATGCAGAAATTCTCAATAAAATAGCGAATAAAATCCAGCAGTGTATTAAAAGAATTATATACCATGACAAATGGGATTTATTCCAGGTATGCAAGACATGCTTACTATTTGGGAAGTCAGTCTCTGTAATCCACCTTATCAACAGGCTAAAGTAGGTTATCATATGATTGGATCAATTGATGGAGGAGAAGCATTTTAAGAATATACCGATTCCTAGTAAAATTCCTCAGCAAACAAGGAAAGAGAAGTAACTTTCTCAACTTGATTTAGAGCATGTACAAAAACCTAGAGCTACCATCATACTTAGTGGAGAAAGACTGAATGTTTTCCCCCTAAGATTAGAAACCAGACAAATATGTCATCTCTCACCACTCTTATTCAACACAGTCTTGGAATTTGAGCTAAATTGGCAAGGCAAGAAAAAGAACAAAAGTATGCAGATTAGAAATGAAGAAATTATAAATATGAATATCTTTTTCTGGGAGAAAATGTTAATAAATGGCTATCCATTATTTAGAGAATGCAAAGTAAAACCACAGTGACATCACCATGCACTTATAAGTAATTTAAATTAATTTAAATTAATTTAAACTTATTTTTTAAATAAGTTAAAATTAAATTAATTAAATAAATTAATTAAATTTAATTTAAACTTAATTTAAATTAAAAAGTAGTAATAATGCTGAATGCTGGCAAGGAATGTGGAGAAACTGGGTCACACATATTTTTGATGAGGATATAAGAATTTACAGCTCCTCTAAAATAGCTTGACTGTTTTTTATAAAATAAAACATGCATTCGCCATATGATGCAACAGTTGCACTCCTCAACATTTCTATCAGAGAAATGCAAACTCATGTCCACACAAAAACAGGCACATGAATGTTCATAGACCTTTATTTGTAATACCTAAGAACTGAAAAAGACGAAATTCCCTTGAATGGATGAATAAATTGTCGTACGTTATATCGAGGAACAATACTGAGCGAATATAAGGAAAGAATTACTGATACAACAAGTTGGACAGATCTCCAGAGTATTCTTATGCTGGGTGAAAAAAAGCTGATCTGAACAGGCTAACTGTGGTACATCCATCCGTACAATAGAATATTATCCGGCAATAAAAAGAAATGAGCTTCTAGACGTGAAAAGACACAGAGAAACCTCAAAAGCGTATCCGCGAAGTGAAAGAAGCCAATCTAAAAAGGCTACATACTGTGGTTCCAACTATATATCTTTCTGGAAAAGGTAAAACTATGGATACAGCAAAAACATCAGTGGGAAATTTCCAGAGGTCAGGGGAAAAGGAGAGATGAATAGATGGAACACAGGTGATCTTTGTGGTAAAGCAACTATTGCAAATGATACTGTAATGGTGGGTATATGTCATTATATACTTGTTAAAACTCAGGACCTACAGCACCAAGGCTGAATCCCAATGCAATCTCTGGACGTTTGTTACAAATGTATCAATACCAACTCCTCAGTTGTAATAGATGTACCGTGAAAATGCAAGATATTAATAACAGGAGAAACTGGGGCCGGGGGCAGGGGATATATGGGAACTTTCTGTTCATGTTCTACAAAGCTAGAACTGCTCAAAAAATAGTGTATTCAAAAGGCCAATCTCAAACAGTTATATACTATATGAGTCCACTAATACAACATTTTTGAAACGATACAGCAATGCAGAGGAGAGAAATGGTTGCCAGGGATTAGAAAGGTGGGGGTTGGAATGTGTGTTAAGAAAGGTGGTTTGCCCTAAAGATACAAATGTAGTGATCCGAAGGGGCATGTGCACCTGAATGTTTATAGCAGCAATGTCCACAATAGCCAAACTATGGAAAGAGCCCAGGTGTCCGTCAACAGATGAATGGATAAAGAAGATGTGATATATAGACATAGATATATATCTATATACATACATACACACACACATACATATATACACACACATGCACACACACACACAGTGGAATACTATGCAGCCATCAAAAGAAGCGAAATGTTGCCATTTGCAACAAGGTGGTTGGAACTAGAGGGTATTATGCTAAGCGAAATAAGTCCATCAGACAAAGAGAATTATATGATCTCACTGATATGAGGGATTTGAGAAATAAGACAGAAGATAATAGGGGAAAGCAGGGAAAAATGAAACAAGATGAAACCAGAGAGGGAGACATACCATAAGAGACTCTTCATCTCAGGAAACAAACTGAGGGTTGCTGGAGGGGAGGGGGGTGGAAGAGATGGGGTGGCTGGGGGATGGACATTGGGGAGGGTATGTGCTATGGTGAGTGCTGTGAATTGTGTAGGATTGATGATTCACAGACCTGTACTCCTGAAACAAATAATACATTATATGTTAATTAAAAAAAAAAAGAAAGAAAGGTGGTTTGAGCTATAAAATAGTAGGAGGAGGATTTTAATGGTGAGGTAACTATAATTGTGGAGGTGATTACATGAATTTACACATCTGATAAAATTGAGTAGAACTGCACACACACATTTAGTGCACCTCGAACTGGTGAGATCTGAACAAGGCGTGTGGATTGTATCAATGTTAGTTTCCTGGTGGTGATATCATGCTATGGTTATGCATGGTATTATTGCTGGGGGAATGGCGAAGGGGACACAGGATCTCTGTTTGCTCTTAGAGTTGCATATGAATCTGAAATTGTCTCAAAATAAAAAAATAATTTAAAAAGCTTACTTTAATGTTTTCAGTAGTTTGTTCTCACTATATCTAAAGCAGGGCATAGTTTTTCATATTGTCTAATTTTGTTTCCTTTCAGTCTATACATATTGATACCACTTTATATACTGAAAGTGATGCTCATGTGAGTATAGTTTATTTTTTTGAAAATTGCTATTTTTTCCAGTTTTCAAAAGTTGAAGAAGTATATTTTCATAAATTTACTGAAGGGTGTATAGTTTTTAAATCTGACTTTTGGTGTGTTCTGACAACATATGATCAATGAATTTTGTAAGTAATTGTTGAGGTTGTGGGACTTGGGGACAAAGAGCTACCGTGTTGCTATTTTCATGATGGTACCAAATCAAAATATAAAACAGCCTTTTCCATCAATGTCAAACAAAATATATTATACGTTTTGTGATGCAATTAGATCATGATGCAATTAAATACAAAATCGGGTTAACTGATTGAATTTAAAACTATCCACTCTATCCGTCCTTTCCAATGCTGTAGTGTATTACAACCCTTAATCAAATTTTTTACAAATTGCTTAAATGCATCCACATTCTAGATTTTGAATGAATCTCCACAATTGTCAGAAAAGGATTCTGGCTGCTTACCCTCTATGTGAGAAAAGAAATAAACACAACTCATAAAACCTATCAGAATTCATAAATGATCTTGAACTTGTCTCAATACCTTGACATTGCCAAAGGCGTGTCACCTCATCGGAAACAAACTCTACATGTGTGTGTGTGGAGAACCATGAGTCCGCTCTCAATTAGTGCTCAGTTAGGACCTCTCTGAAATAGATATTGCTCCTGTGAAGACTTTCTTAGCTTTGGGAGGAAGCCTTCACCGCAAACTAGAAAAAAAACAGACTTTCATCAACCACTTGGCTAGTGCTACTACACATAAAAATTGGCTGCCTCTTTGGCTTCAGCATGCCTTCCATTTTCCCAAAGTAGAGAGAAGTCAGTTAACCACCCAAACTCCCGAGATTGCTTTTTTTTTATTGCAAGAAGAAAACCTTGTAACTCATGGGTTATAGAAAGAAGCTGTGTTTGAAATTTAGATTTAAACTCTGATTCAGCCTCTTCCTAGCTGTGTTAACTTAGAAGTCACTAAACATTTCTGAACCTGTTTTATCTATCTATCTATGTATCTATTATTTTATCTATCTCTCTCTCTGTCTGTCTATCTATCTATATGGGGCAGCATTTACCCTTCAATCCTGGGCAGCTGCTGTGGGGTGCCTGCTGGGTCCCAGGCACTGTGTGAGGCAGTGAGAACAGAAGGTCAAACAAGCCATGGTCAAACCTCCAAACAGTCATCAATGTTTCTTTGAAATTTAGGCTTTCGTCCAAGTAAGCGTTGTGGGAAACATACTCCTGTGGTATCCCAAGGTGCCTTTCTGATTTGGCCAGCCCATGAGAGGGCTGTGCTCAGACGCTGATTTTTCTAATCCATTTCTTGGAGTCGCTTCTGCTTCTGGAACTTCAGAACTTGCAGAAATAGCAAGATCAGCAGCTATCACTGTTTAAAATGTTAACAACACAATCTGATTCTAAAAATTCTTTCCGTGCACTAGACATACTAATGTTTGGAGAGTCTCAGGCTGGTATTATCACCCTTTTACAAAGAGGAAATGTTCTCAGTGAGAAAAAGTAGCCTATTCTTTCTGTGTTTTCTAGACTTATGTTCGCTCTTCCATATAATATCACCATCCTCGTAGATTGTTTTGTTGTCAGTTTGCTTGGGATTTGATTTCAAAGCCAAAAAAGAAAAAAAAAAAAACTGTCTCCTATGCAAAACTTCTTAGGGAGATTGGGTTTCTTTATAAAGTATTTGGACTGACTTTTTTAAAAAATCAAAATTACATCTATGTAAACATGAATAACAGAAAGATCGTTGTTTTTTTCACAATGATTCTCTGTAACTCTATTTTTAGCCCGGCTGCAAAGTCACAGCGATGAAGTGCTTTCTTCTGGAGTTACGTGTTATTTTGCTTGAGTTCAGTCATCCTGACCTTAATGAAACAATACCTAACATTATCATCCTAGCAAACAGTAGTTTATCTTCTAATGCGGTGAGTTTTCCACTAGTCCGTTGGAGCTTTGTCTGATGATTATGGCTTGGTTGGGTGAGGTCATTGGCTGGATGTAAGGGACAAGCAGATCCTCTGGGGACACTCTTGGGAAAGGGAGATCACGCCGGTGGAATGGCCACCATCACTACCATGGGCACAGCCCTGACGTAGCTCACCAGTTTACTCAATGGACATTTACTGCATGACACTAGGCGGTGCACTTTGGGGCAAGAGGGACACTGGTGAACCAGGGAGGTCATTGCCCTCAAGGTGTTCGTCCCCAGGTGCAGTGCAGAGACATGAATCTAATTACGTAGTTAAGTGTTTTGCATCATGACTGGCAATTTGCATTCGTTCCGTTATTACTCTATGCCGGACAACACTGCTCTTCAGCGGCAATGGGGTAATTCCTTGCGTCCTCACAATAAATCTGTGAGATAGTTATCCTTGTGTCTGTTTTAAGGTTGAAGAAATTGGAGTGCTTAGGGCTTGAAATCACTTACTCCAGTTAGCACAGTTGGTGGAATGGGGAGCCAGGATTCATACCCAAGCAGTTTCACTTCGGGGGATGTCTTCTTCTTACCCACTGGCAGAACAAGAGCTGCAATAAGATAGTCAATAAAAATGTTAATAATTCAAGGAGAATTGGGGCCATGCCCAAATCGGTCTCTGCTCTTAAGGGATCCACCATAAAGTAAAGCATAAATAAAGCAATCAGAAAGGAATGAGTAATAGCTCAGTTATTTATTAATTCCAGTGGCCAAAAGGAAGGCAGATAAGAGGGCTGGGATTCCGCCTTAGATGTTTCTCTACCAAACCAGGACGAGAGGGAATGAGCCTTATCTCCCGGGAAGGGTGTTTAGGCAGAGGCGACTGAAAACTATGGAGCTCCTCAGCTAGGATGGCTGGACACTGTGGACTTGCCTGAAACATGCCAGGTTGCTCTAGGTCTTTGCTGAAATGTCACCTTCTCAGTGCTGTCAGCTCCTCACGTGGCAAGCCATTCCCACGCCTCATCCCCTTGTCTGCATGCCCCACTAGTTGACATTTTCCTTAATGGCTTTTGTCTGCTTTTCCCTATTTGAATGCCAGTTTCAAAGGGGCAGTTATTTTTGTGTTGTATTTTTTTTCTTCAGTGCTGTATCCCAACTCCCCAAGCATTGCCTGGCATATTCTAGACACTTGATGTATTTATGAAATGAACATACTGATCTTTAAAATACTCTTGTGATATGTTATTCCTGTGTTATTGGTAGAAAGGCTGAACCAGGCAACAGATAACTCCTAACAACATCCCTGGTGAGCTCTTGATGACCATGGTCACGGTCACTGTGACCATGATGTGGTGTGTTCTGCACATCTAGCGGAAGGAGCGGGCAGGCTGTACAGTCTGAGAATTTCATTGATTATGTCAACTGAGATGCATGATGTGAATATCTCTGCTTTGTCGGCTGACATGATGATTTTCCAGGAGGACAGTGCTTATGGAATATGACAGTGCCTGGCATAGAGTATGTGCTTGATAAATGTTGGTGAATCTGAATTTCAAATGCTTAATGGATGTAAAATCTAATTTTTGTTTTTTGCTGGTACGGCTTTCATGGTTCAGACGATCTCTAAATAGTTTATTTGTGATGACTGCATTTGGAAGATTCTAGTTGGCCATGAAACTGTTTGAATTACAACTTCTGATCTTTACCTAAATAGTTCAATGCAGCTGGTAATGACTAGGTGACCACCATGTGCTAGGCCCTATGCTAAATGCTAGGGAAACAAAACTGTGTGGCTTTGCGCTCTTAGAAAAGCCTAGAGAATAGTAGCATAAAAAGCATGAAACTCCCTAATGTCAATATAATAAATGATGTGAGAGGAGGGAAGTCTGAGAATGTAGGGATGGAACATTTAGCCCAGCCTGGGGAACTCCTCAGTTCAGGAATGCCTTCCCGGTGGAGACAGCACCTGAGTGATCTCCACCTGGGTAGTGGTAGCTAAAATAGCGATGAGGGACATACAGATAGAAAAGCCAACACGGCAGCGTAGCTAATAGCATGATGTGTGTGCGTGGGGCGAAAGGCATGAGCTCTGTGTACTTAGGCTATGTCCTTTGAGGTGATGGGGATAGGTGAGAGAAACAAGCGAGGGACACTTCAAGGCTCCTGCGTGCTGTGTGGGGAGGCATGGATGTGATGCTGGGGTAGATGACCAGAAAAGTAAATGACCACTCAAGGGCACTCAGCAGGAAGTCCATGGTCAGAAAACCATGGCTTATTTTTACAATGTCTTTAACCTATTATAGGAAAAATAAACCTCAATCAAATCTCCCAGTACCCTTTTCCAGTGGTTCCTCCTACCATGATATTAATTTGCCAAAGTGTTCATGTCTTAAGACCTCAGAATGTGGTTCAAATGATGTGATATTCCCAGGAAGGAGATACAGTAGACTTTCCCATCTAATCCTTTCTTTTTATTTGGCAGAACATAACTGAAACGGGATGCAAAGAATGTGAGGAACTCGAGGAGAAAAATATTAAAGAATTTTTTCGGAGTTTTTTACATATTGTACAAATGTTCTATAATTCTTGATTGTAACTGATCCTCTTCAACATGTCTGCTATTAACAAACATCTTCCCACGACGTAAAGCAGTGAAACCCTCTGCAGTTCACATGGGCTGCCCAAACCAGTTTTTCTAACAAGAGGATAATCCAGAATCTTGAATTGGATGAACTCTTGGAAATGAAGGCAGAAAAATGACATTGAATTACATGGTGTCTATGAACTGTCCTCATACTTATTTTGTTCCCTTATTCTTAATTTATTATTGAAGTTGTACATATTTGTGGCATAATATAAAGTATTGAATAAAACTGTGTACCTACTTTATCCTTTGCACTGATATTTACCCCTTGTAAGGACATAGGGGACATTCCTTCAAGGGCAAGAGTGGAATTACACAGCTGGTGGGCCTGAGCACCACTGGGGAAGGTCAGCTGTGTGCTCCAGCCAGTTAGGAACCCCTAACCACCAGCCTTCACTCACCTCTCCAGTGGGTGTCCCACAAGGAGGAAGAATTGACTCCCAATGAGGAAGGAGAAATAGGTGCTTTACTCTGCAACATAGTTATTGATATCAAAAGCACCTGTTACTAAAGACAGTGCACGAACCTGGTATGTATGATGCATCAGTAAATCTTGGGTGGGAATGGTAATAATGAACTTTCACTGGTAGGTAGAATCGTGTATAGAGAACTCATGGTTGTAATGATGTTAATATTTCATGCTTTCCTGAGTGCAAGTGTTTTATTTTCACTTTTTTTTGCCTTGTTTGTATAATAAAAAAAAAAACTGTTGATTTGTTAGAGCCAACATTATCTGACATAATTGTTTATATATTTTTGCACTATACTGTCTGAAATTTATAACTTTTTTTAAATAAAACTATGACTAAAATGAAATATTTTTGTCTCCTCTCACAATTTCTTTCACCTGATTCACTTGTGGCGTTTTTCACTGAGGGGCTAAAGGGTAGGAATTGATGTCCTACGAGTTTGATTTTGCTTCATTTCACAATATGAACTAATTCTCTATCGAAACATTTTTATCCTCCAGTACCCTGTCCATGGTCATGTATATCATTGCTCTAGTCAACGTATGCTTAAACATTTCTTTTGAGATAGATTTGGAGAAATCTACATCCTATTTGACTTTTGAAGAGTCTTGTGTCAGCTATCAGTTTGTTCCTGACTTCGGTCCGGACAAATAGTATTTGACAGCCACACTTGAAAGTTTAGGGATTGTGATTGTGGCAAGGTGTTTTGTTTGCTTGTTTTAATTTCATCCAAAATGGATTTTTAAAAATCTACCTTTCATTTTTTTTCTTCGTAGCTTCTCTATTGATGGAGAATAGGAAAAATGCACCATTTTTAACTGTAAGTTGACAATCTAATCCTTAAACAAAAGTTAGCCTCCTTCCAGTGTCTGCTGGGATGGGAAAGGAAATCATAATGGCAGCCATATCACCAAAAGTATCTTTTAGTAACCAATGATCCATTCTGGTTATATAGGCAAACACAGGTGGGTTTAAAATTTGGCATTTTCCAGTGTTCAAAATTGGAATTCCTTCCACATTAGTTAATTAGTCTGGGTCACTTCAGTTAATCTTAAGGAACTTAAGGCATAGAGGTACAGCTAGCTCCTTATACATTCTTAGCTAACTTAAGAAAAGAATTATGTAAAACAACCTAAATTTTATTGTTCAGGCCTGAACTCTTAACAAGATGAGCTTCTCATTTGTGTTCAGTTTTTCCTTCTTGAACTGTCCTCCTTAATTAGTCAGCCTAATGTTATTTGTGCAGACTAGAATATATTGTTTTTATCTCACCTATTGCCCTAAATGCTGAAAGCATTTGCCTTATGTTACATATAATGAAGAAAGGCAAATCCATAGATTTAGAAGCTCAAATAGCAAAGGCAAGCCTAATAAAAATTAGGTTTACAGTCTGGAGTCAGTTTGATGGATTATATTGTTACCTCTTTAAAATTTCAAATGAAGAAAAAGATATATGAGAGAATATCATTTCTACACTCTCCCTGGCAATAAGCAAAAAACGGGTTAGAAGGCAGAAGACATGGAAATGTAAACTGAACCAACACAAAATCTGTGAGTCCAGAGATTGTTAAAACCCAGTCACAAGCCTAGTTTTACATACTTTCAGTTTTTACCTTAGAACAGAGAATCGATGGAATTCTTTTCTTTTGCTGCTATTACTCCTGTGAGAGGAGCTTCTATGTGTTTTGATGTGTTACTCTTTCTGTCCATCAAATTCAGAGGCTCGTAAAGTCAAACCAACATATATGATATGAAAACCAAGTCTGTGATCGATCCATTCCCCCTTCCCCCCAGAAATACGAGAGAAATCATTTTTATTCCTTCATCTGTGTTATCTCAGCCAAGTTTTCTGCATTCATATGTGAGTCACAGTTAACATATGCATGTCATGTATAAATATTTTGCCCAGAGGAAATCCCATTTCCATAGAGATTTAGTTCAGTGCTTCTGAACGTGTCTGATGATTGAATTTTATTTTCACTAAGAAATTTATTATGCAAGGCAAACTTTAGCTTCATTGAAAAGTCCCCTAATTGTATAATCTATCTGATGGAACATAGAAGAAAAATTAATGAATCATTAATAGCAGTGACTTTGTCCTTGTTAAAAAGCAAATGGAGACCAGCCTTGAAAATTGCCTGAGCAGAAAAAACCACTTCATTCACACAAACAAACCCTGATTTAGCTTATTTGGCAAGACTAACCTGATTGGATCATTTCCTATTTATGCATCTGAAAATCATAAGCAAAACCTAAGCTGTTTCCCGAGATTGATATGAGGTAACCATTGACCAATTCCCTTTCATTTAAGAAAATTCTAATATAACCAATCACTGTGAAGAACAAATTGTCACTGCTCTCTCACCTTTAAAGCCACTACTCTAACCATATACCCCTGAGCTGCCTTCTGTAGTTTGATACAGATGCTTCTGGTTTACAGGCTGCTGTTGTGGTGTGTGCTCAATAAACTTTCATGAATTACCACTTAAAGGATTGACTGGTTTTATTTCCGGTATTTCTGAACTTTGGACAGTCCTATATTTTACCTCTTTCATCCTAGATTTCAAAATCAGTTGACCGCTAGAGGAACTGGAGAGGAGATTGTTGCCCAGATGTCAAACGGAAGATTGTACATTGAGTTTCTACAAGCTGTGTCAACACTTGCGGAAATTACCAGAGGGTCCAGCGTCACCCTAAAAGTGATTTTTCCTCATCATCTTCACTCTCATGAAGGAAGTCTCACTCCTTCAGCCGGATCGTAACCTGGTTTGTTGAAAACCTACCATGTGCGAACATGATGGTGGATGCTGCCCTTACACGCATGAGGGAGGCAGCCTTACGTTCGGCCCTCACGGAATTGACATTCCCGGAGGAGAATCCTGTTACCCCATTAACCGCTCGCATGCTTATTTGGTTACCAGTTCTGTGAAGGGCACCAGGTGAGCACAGAAAGGAAGCGGCAGATCCTTTCAAGCTGTCAGGGCTTCTTTCAAACAGTAGTGTCTGAGCTCTGCTATGCAGTATAAAGACAGATTGCGGGGCGGGGGACGGGGTGCTGGGGGGTATCCACCTGAGAAACATTCTGCCAAAAAAGAAGATTTTCTTCAGTAAGGCAGGATGAGAGCACGTTCAAAGAGAGGAAAGAAGGCCAGAGCGGCTAGGGTCAGAAAAAGCAATGAAAGAAGCTGGTAAGATAAATACCAGATGGTCTCATAGGCCAGGTAAGGATATTGGTGGCAAAGATTTCGCTTTATATTCCAAAAAGAAAGAGGCTTTTTTTCTGGCATGTGTGAAAAATACAGCAGGCTTTGTTTCTAGTTGAGAAAAGAGTCAACGTCAAAATCTCCTTACCTCTTAATCCCAGGGTAATAAAAGTATTTCTAATAACATCATCTTACATGGACCTCATTACTGGAGTCCTTTAATGAACACCTTGCAACACTTAATGGAGACCAACTTTGGTAAGTAATTATTCATTTGCTGTCAAATCCAACAAACCTGTTTGCAGTATATATGCCTCTGTCATCAGGATTAATGTGTAAATCCAGTTTTGGGTTCTGAGGCCAGCTGGAATGGATCTGTGGTCTGAATCTTTACACCAGGAAGCCCTTTTGAAAAAAGGATTTTTCAGTCATTTCTTAATGAGAACTCTTTGAGGTGAGGGAGACCAGTATTCTTCATCAAGAAAGCTGGGGTAGAGGAAGGCCCCAGGATATAATGATGGTAGTCTGCTGTCTGGTGGCAAGGCATAGTTAAAACAGGGGATGGAAAGGTGCAAGATGGGTGTGGCTTGGTGTGTGGGTGGCGGGCCAGGAGATAGCTTTGAAATCACAGTTAAACACATAGCCTTCAGGGACTCATGAGGTTCAGCTGCACAGTGGTGGAGAAAAGACAGATCTGAGATGTTTATGGAGAGAAAAGGAAAGAAGCAGCATTTCTGAATAAGCAGCTAAGAGCCTATAGGTGAGACTTGAATGTTAGGGCAGTGATGGTTCCCCATGGCAAGTGCCATCTTTTCAAGGCTTTTCAAGATCATGGGCCATTAACGGAATTCACTTTCCTGAGTTGATTTAATAAAGTCAAAGCCCCCAGTATATATATGAGTTCTGCTAAGGACACACCAGGCTGATGGAAATAATATTAATTCTCTTACACTTTTATGGTTCTTTAAAGTTCACAAAGCACTTTTATCTAGATGATTTTATTTGAGAAGAGCTTCTGTCCCTCAGGGGTGTAGACGAGAAGAGATGCAGACCTATGAAACATTTTGCTTATGTTGCTCATGTGTAAAAAATAAAGACAGAAAGAAATCACCTGAAATTGTTGTCTACGTTCAGCTATGTATTTTTAAATGCCCTATTGCCTTTCAAATAAGCATGAGCACAATACTTGGGGTGGAAAGTTATTTGTTGTTAAAGAAATCAAAACAGAGCTTAAGCATGTATTTTTATTCCATATTTTGATTATTTTTTTCTTCATACAATTCTATTCTGGTGCTTTGTTTGCTTTGCCCAGATGGCAAATGCACCATTAAGTTTGTTCAGCCTGAATTAATTATCTTTTTATAGTAAAAGAAAATCCTCTCCTTGTGACAAGTAAGATGTTTGTGCTGTATTTATGAATAAATAAAGGCAGCTGTTATACACAGCATTATTAATAACATCGCTTTAAACATCTCATGTGACAAGAAATCCACTTTTTTCAGTATAACAAAAGCTCTTGGTGCCCCAGAGTTTATGAAAACCATTGACCTGTTATCCACACCGCAGCGTAAGAAAAACATCACACTTTCTGTAGCAGAAGGATTTAATTCAAATTGTGGGCATAAAGCAGTACTCTTTTAAATGGTTATTGTCTTTGCTGGTCATTTGGCTCCGAGTCTTGAGTGTTTCACAGGTGTAGCGTCTGGAGATCAGCAAAGCCCCTCTCCTTGCCAACAGAAAGTTAACAGTCAGCCACAGGCTTCGACTAAATGGCCACGATGATGCT